GCACCCTCCCCAAAGGGAATGGCAGATCTGCACAGTGATTGCTGGCTACCCAGTAAGCCCCAGTGATCCTCCAGTCTCCCCTCCTACAGCTTTACATGGGTGCTGGGATCTGAACTCACATCAAGCACTCTCACCCACTGAGCCATCTCCCTGGCCTCGCCACTCTTCCCCACCCCCACTTCTGCAGTGCTGGGGAATAAAAGCCACTCAGGGCCTCGCACATGCTCAGTGCATGCTCTACCACAGAGCTCCACCCCTGCCCTATGGCCTACTTTACTAAGCAAAATGAAACCGCAGTTTTCCAGTGTTCTTAAGGGCTGGGGCTGGAGATAAGGTGCCCCAGTCCTGGAGCGCACAGGTCAGTGGGTGGGGCCTCAGGGCAGAGCCATGAAAACTGCAAGGAAGGAGTGGGCAGAGTCCCAAGGGAACAGGAAAGGCCACTTCTAACCCTGAGGAGCAAAACCACAGGAAACAAGCCCTTTGTGCCTCAGTTTCTTCCTTTGGAAATGGGGAACAGTGACAATGTGGCCTCTGCTTTGTGTTGTTGTGAGTCCAGAGAACAGCGTGAAACAGAAATTCTGCATATGGCCGCTGGATCTGACAGGCCTGTCCCGTGCCTGGGACCGAGCGTCAGCCACCTTCCCATGGAAGCCTCCCAACTCTGCCCTGCTCACACTGTGCCAAGTCTGCAACCGGAGCCAGCTCCTTTAAAAGGACACAGACATGGGATCATTTCTATGTGCTAATGAATTCTTCAAACCCTTGGGATTTACCAGCCTGGGCAGTGTTTTGATCCCTTCTCTCAAAGTGACTGCCCCACCCCCCAAACCTTACTCTCGGAGAGCTAGGGCCATGGGAGGGCTAGGGCTGTAGCTCAGTGGGTAGAGAGGCTGCCTGTCACGCATGAAGCCTTGGGTTCTAGTCCCAGCACTGCATAAACTGGGGTGGTGGTGCAAACCTGTGATCCCTGTGGTAGGGAGTTGGAGGAAAGAAAAGTTGAGAGTCATCTTCAGCGAGATACCGAGGTGGAGCTGCACCTGGGCCACACAAGAGCCTTTCTCAAACCAGACAAACAAGCAAACAAGCTCTGAAAAGGTCACTTGGCGAGGTTGAGGCTGTTCTGCCTCACCTACAATTCAGGGGCTTCTGTGTGAGCCACTGCTGGTGTCACCACAGGGACCTGGGGGTCTCTGCTTTGTGTGCTCGTGGGTGTTGGGACTCTACAGTTCCTGATCTGCCAGAGGCAACTCTTAAATGCTGCCAGACGCAACTGAGGTGAAGCCTCCCTCCACAGCCTCTTCAGCCTCACCCACACTGTTTCCTTTCTGTTTGCCTCTAGGCAGATGCCTAGCAGAGCAAGAGGCGGACTCCCGGTTTTCAGCACCAGTGGCTTGGAAAGCCAGCTATTGCCGGAAAGCTTAGTGTTGAAATGAAAACCAAGCCTCAGCCCTTGCCAACCTAGGCTCCACCATGGAGTTTCCGTGGAAAGCCCAGGTCAGAGGGGTAGCCAGCCCCTCCCTCCTGGCTACAGGGACTATGCGCTCCTGTCTTGTGTGGGTCCATTGAGCAGGCTCACTGGTTCCTATAAGCCATCTGTCTGCAATTTCACCTGCAATTTCCCTCCAAAGTCAGTTCACAGCCAGCCTCTTCCCACCATCTCAGGGTCCTGACCCTGGTCTCAGGCTCGCCCTTTCTTGTCTGTACCACCTACCCTTCTCAACCCCAACCTTTCTTTAGATCTCAGCCTTCTACCAACAGATTCCTTGTCCACATGGCCACCAAGATGGTCATCTTGATCATCCTATCATTCTTCCAGAACTGTTCATCAGTTTCCATTGCTCGTGGGAGAGAATGGTAACCCCGGGCTCTTTCTCCCTCTCCCTTCCTGCCACTCTTCAGCCCCACAGGACTCACGACTTGCCAGCCTTTCTCTCCAGACTCCAGGCCTTGTCCCCTGATGCTCTCTATCCCTAGATCACTCTCCCAACCCTTGCTGGTCAATCTTCAGGTACCCCTTCCTCAGAGAAGCCTTCCCAGTGCCTCCCCAGAGGAATGAGGTGACTTGTTGTATTCATACCTTTTAGGGCTTTTGTATTTTCTGAGGACCTCCACGAAGGACCTCCATGGAGGTCAGTGCCATGGCCAGATTATAGCAGAGAAAGGAGCAAATCAGCCTTCATTGCATGCGGACAGGAGTACATGAGTGAATGGGTGAATGAAGGAATGAGATATGTTCTGTTCCACCTGCTCCGCAGGGTTGGATGCTGCTCTGGATCCTGGTACCATTGCATCTCCACCATGGGATGGCCGCACTAGTGCCCTCCGTGGCCCAGCATCCCTCAGACCTCAAGGAAGCCAATGCTGGGTACCAGGCTCGGGAGTAGCCTGTCTTCTCCTCACATCAGAGCCACACTTAGTGAACAAGAACCCAGCACTCCTTCTCCTGTGCTGAGGGTCCTCAAGGCCTTTCTGTCACAAGGTGTGGCATAAAACCCATGCAGAGAGCCAGGGAGCCAAAACTGGGAGAGTAATGTGGGTTGTGTTAATTGGGTGCTTTCTCTAGGCAATCCCAATGACCATATGTAACCCTTGGAGGTAGGTGCTGTTACAGTCCATCTAATTATGGCTGGAGAAACCACTGCTCAGCAAGGTTTGGTGGTGGTTCAAGGTCCCGGGATGCAGATCTATCTGGCCTGACTCCAGGGGGCTGCTCACTCTCCAACCAGCCCAGTATCCCATACCCACACTCTGCAGGCACAGGCAGCCGGGCTCCAATCAGGCCCTGGACAGGACAACGTACCTGAAATCTCTCTCTCCCTCCCTTCCCTCTTCCCCCTTCTGTCACTTGTATGCACATGTCTTATACGCATGTTTGTGTATGTTCCTTCATGTGTGTGGGGCAGCATGCACACACCTGTGCATAAGGCAGAGTTTAAAACCAGGTGTCTTTCTCACCGTTTGGTTTGTTTTTTTTTTTTTAACAGTCTCTTCCTGAGCCTGGAACTCACTGGCTCAGGAGATCACCCTGTCCCCACCTCCTTGGCTACATGTGCACACAGCCTGGCTTTCACAAGGATGCTGCAGAATCAGACTCAAGTCCTCATCCTTATTCAGCGGGCGCCTTAGCAAGCCGTGCCCCCTGCGCTTAACCTCTCCTCAGCTTAAATGAATGAGGATAGTAAAAGACAGGGCTGGTTGGGAGGCTCCTATAGGTAAGGTATATGAAGAGCTGCTATGTAGTCAAGACTTAAGGGACGTGGCTGAGGGTATAGCTCAGCGATAGAGGGCTTGCCCAGCGTGTGTGAGAGTCCAGGGAGAAAAAGCAATCGGAGGTGGTGAGCAGGGGCAGCTCTGGCTGGTGAGCTTGGCATCGGTTCTAGAACTCACACACAGCCGGTGTCTGGCCGTCCCGGAGATTATTCATCCCCGATGGTTGTCAGATGAAGCAAAACAGCTCCAAAGTCCTTCATCTGCAGAGGTAAAAACCCAGAATCACAAAAGCTAGGGGTTAAGCCTGTTGGCATCAGAAGCCGACCTGGCAGGGCCTCATCTGCAGCACACGCTGACCTTTGCTGGCCACAAAGCTGCTTACAGGGAGCTTCGCTTATAAAGTCCCTTCATGTGACTGTTTGAAATGCTTCACACCTCAGAATGGAGCGCCGCCTAGAGTCCGGCTTCTCTGAATCATTACAGCTCAGACCCATAGAGCACATGCAGACTGCTCTGCCAGATGTTCTCCCGGGCTGTTCCCCCAGCCAAGCCTTTTTGGATAATAGTTTGTCTTTATTACACCCTCTGGCCTGTGGCTAGCATATAATAGTTCAATGAATGCCCCCCTCATTCTCTCTTTCTCTGGTGTGTGTGTGTATGTGTGTGTGTGTCTTTAGTTTTCTCAGACATGGTTTCTCTGTGTAGTCCCCTCTGTCCTGGAACTCACTCTGTAGGCCAGGCTGCCCTCAAACTCAGAGATGCACCTGCCTCTGCCTCCCGAGTGCTGGGATTAAAGGGGTGCATCACCACTGCCCCGCCAAAAGTCTTCTCTTCTTTTAAGACTATGACATCTTTAACATCTATCTATACAGCCCACCCTCTTGTGTTTGGAACAAAAGTTCTTTAAAAAAAAAAAAGATTTATTTGCATGTGTGTGTGAGAGAGAAAGTGTGTGTGAGAGAGAGAAAAAATGTGTGTGTGTGTGTTAGTGTGTGTACATGCTTGCATGTGCCTGTTATGGCCAGAAGAGGGCATCAGATTCCCTGGAACTGACAGTTGTGAGCCACCTGATGTAGGTGCTGGGACCTGAACAGGTCCTCTGCAAGAGCAACGATTGCTCTTAACAGCTGAGCCATCGTTCCGGCCCCTAACACAGCCATGATTAATCCTCACCCTGCTAAATTAGCCTGGCCACCTGTCCCAACAGATGGGGAAATGGAGGCACAGGTGACTCTTCAGTCACAGCCTTGTGCTCTGCTGCCTCCAGGAGCTGAGGCCAACACCATAGCAGGAGGGAAGAGACGAGACCTTTCGGGGAGTACCTACCCCCTGGGCAGTCTATTGACACAGCGGTGCCAGCGATTCCTTTAAGTGACCAGCAGGTTTTCAACCTCATTCAACATAGGAGACACAAATGCAAGTCTCTTAAACTTGACTTCATTCCAAAGGTGATTTCCTTCTAAAAAACGATCAGGGACACTGCACAGGAACAAGGGACCCTCAGAGAGTCGTGAAAGCAGGTCCCAGCCTGGCAGAGACTTACAGGCCGCCCTAGCTTTTCCTTGCTCGGACAACGCTGGCCATTCACTAACGAGGAGGCTTGGCTTGCAAAGTCTAAGACCACGCCAGGAAAACCTGGCTCAGGCTGGATTTGTTACAAAGAAAGAACGGAGTGCAGTGGGCCAGCATTCGCCTGCTGGATAGAAACCAGTCTTCCTGGCTTCCCATCAGTTGGTGATATGCAACGCTCCCAGAAGCTTCCAGAGCAAGAAACAAACCCTAGCCCCGCCTCTGGTGCTCACAAAGCAGAAATGCCCCTTGCAACTCCCCGACAAGCAATGAGACCCCAAAGCCGCTGTGATGGCGAGCGATTGCCTGCCCCTGCATGTTCTGCAGCAAAACAAGAATTAGAGAATTAGAGGCTTGAGAGGCAGCAGAAAAGGGAAGAAACAAGACAGAACCTGCATATCGGGTCACGGGAAGCCACTGGCCTCGGAAACCTGAGCAGGGAAGGACTTCTACCTGTCAAGACAGAGACGGCGAATTTGGATCAATGGGTAGGTAACACGTACTCCTCATCTCTGAGCCTGATTCGCTCTCTATCTGGTTTGTTTATGCTAGTGGTTGACCCCAGGGCCTGCAGACACTAAGCATGCACTCTACCACTGAGTGGTACAGCCCAGCTCCTGTGCTAGGAGTACAGGTAATTGGCCTTACTTCACGGAGGTGCAACAGACAGACAGTAAATTGTATCTACTGCAAAGGGGGCTTTGGTGGTTGTGGGACTGATTTCATAGGTCCAGAATAGCCTCAGACTTGCTATGGAGTCTGACCTTGAACTCCAGGTCCTCCTGCCTCTGCTTCCTGAGTGCTGAGATTACAGGCGTGATCCACCATCTGTGGACATTTTAAACAACTTTTTTCTCTTTGGATACAAGGTCTCTTGTATCCTAGGTTGACCATGAACTCACTCTGCAGCGGAGGATGACTCTGAACTTTTGATCACCCTGCTTCCGTCTCCCAGGTACTGAATCAAAGGCATGAGCCACCATTTCCAGCCTCCGAGTGAAACTTTCAATTAATCTTATTGTCCTTAGGTTCCTACACGGGAACCTCAATTAGAAAATGCCCCATAAGATCAGACTGTAGAAGCTGGGAGGTGGTGGAGCACACCTTTAATCCCACGCTGATCTCTGTGAGTTCAAAGCCAGCTTCATCTACAGAGCTAGTTGAAGGACAGCCAGGGCTACACAGAGAAACTCTGTCTCTCAAAACAAAAACAAAAACTAACAAACAAACAAATTGGGCTATAACCAAGCCTATAGAGCACTGTCTTAATTAGTGATAGATGTGAGAGGGCTCAGCCCATTGTCAACCATCCCTGGGTTGGTGCTTCTGGGTCCTATAAGAAAGCAGGCTAAGCAAGCCATGAGGAGCAAGCCAGTAAGCAGCACGCCTCCCTGGCCTCTGCCTCAGCTCCTGCCTCCAGGTTCCTGCCCTGCTTGAGTGCCTGCCCTCAGTACTTTCACTGTTATGTGGAACTGTGAATGAAATACACCCTTTCCTCCCCAGGTTGCTTCTGGTCATGGTGCCTCATCGCTGCAGTAGTAACCCTGACTAAGACATGTAGTCAGACCCTTTCCCATCCCCCACCCCAGGCAGCCAGCCCACTTATCTGTTCAGTCACCATGCTCACTACTGCCACCTCTAGAATGTCACATCAACAGAACCATGGACTCTTTCACGCCTTTTCCTCCTCTCTTCCCCGCCTTTGGTTTTCTCTCTCGATGCTATTATAAACAAGATTTCCTAACTTAGGTTTATGTGCATGTGCACAAACGTGTGTGGCACATGTTTGGAGGTGAAAGGACTGCTTCAAGGGCACTGTCTCCTCCTGGGCTCTGGAGACTGAACTCAGGTTATCAGACTTGGTGGCAAGTGCCTTTACCCGCTGAGTCGTTTTGTTGGCCCTAAACAGAATTTCTTTTCTTTTTTAAGATTTATTTATTATTTATACAGTGTTCTGCCTGCATGTGTGCCTGCCTGCCAGAAGAGGGCACCAGATCTTATTATAGATGGTTATAAGCCACCATGTGGTTGCTGGGAATTGAACTCAGGACCTTTGGAAGGGCAGATAATGGTCTTAATCTCTGAGCCATCTCTCCAGCCCCTAAACAGAATTTCTTAAAGCTTCATAAGCCAAGCATTTGTGAAAAGAAGTTTCTTTTACCTGGTATCTTTACTTCCTGTGACCTTGCTGAATTTACCAGTCAGTTTTGAGTTGTTATAGAAATGTCCCACGGTTTCATAACAATTTCATCACCTGTGACTGAAGAGGCTTTCACTTCTTCCTTTCAAACATTAGCAACCTCAAGCCAGTATCCAAGAGACCAGTGTTGAGAAAGAGACAGCGGTCCTCCCTGAGGATGCTACTTACCTGGACTAGCACCTTAGCTTACCTTTCCACCTTTGGAAAGGAAGAAGACTAGGTTAGGAGCTGCCTGCAGAGGCAGATTCCCTGAGAACTTTAGTCTGCTGTTTTGGCACCTACCAGAGGTGAGACCTTCCTGGCAATTGCCATAAATACATATACATATGTGTATATTTACATCTGTGTATATATCTATATAGTGAAATGATTATATATGCCCCCATTTTTCCATTCCCATATTCCTTCAACATATCCCTTTCTAACTTCCTCTCCGCCCACCCCGTCTGTCTGTCTCTCCCACAAAGTACATGGATGTGAGGCCATCCATTGGAACATCCCTAGAAATGAGTGATTTTTTTCTCCCCCAGCAACTATCCACTCCCAATAGTTCCCCAGGAAAGAGTGAGTTCTGGAGAGCATCTAGCTTGTCAATGCCAGGATTTTGGCTAGTTTGATCTTGTGCAGGTAACCACAGATGCTGTGAGCTGACTGCAAATGTTCACACCACATCCAGAAAACAGAGTTTCACAGAAGACTTCTCCAGCCTCCGCCAAGCCTCGCTGGTGGTGGTGTTAACTGAGACATCCTATTAGAGGCTGAGCTCAGTCTCTTATTCTTTAGAGCATGACACTTGAACTGCAGAGTGAAGACATACCCTGAGAGTGAAAGAAAATGGGAATAAAGCAAGATGGGGTCACTGACAGCAACCTAGCACATAGTTTTTGCGCCTATCATTTATTTTCTTACCTTATTACACTGTCTAGGACCACTAAAACAGCGATGAAGAGGAGGTAAGAGCTAACATCTTTGCTGCTAATCTTGGGGAATACAATACCATTAAGTATGATGTCAGCTATAGGATTGTTCTAGACACTATTTGTCTTGAGACAAAGTCTCACTTAGCTCAGGCTGGCTTTGAGTTCCTGATCCTCTTGCCTCTACCTCCTTAGTGGAGGGCTAGGAGTCAGACAGGTAGGCAGGCAGGAAGGGAAAGAGGTTCTAGGTAGATAAATACACTTTTCACTTAAACATTCAAGGTGGTTGGCTTCCTTGAAGACTAAGGTTTGGTGGACTTTTTTCCTGCCAGGGGGAACTTTCAGTGGACTTTCAAAGAAGAGTGAGGTAGGTTGGTTTCCTGCATTGAGAACCAATCAGTTTCTTTTTCTTTGTCTAGATTAACCACCCCCGTGATAGCCCAAACGAGCCAGTCCCGAGGCAAAAAGAGAGCAAATCCCTACACATAAAGTTCGTCTCTAAGACAAATTCCAAAATACCACTTTAGGGCCTCTTTTTCCCCTGGAAAGGTGTCTCTTTGTGGGCTTTGCGCTCTCTCTCTCTCTTTCTCTCTCTCTCTCTCATTCTTTCTCTTTCTCTCTCTGCCTCTCTCTCTCAGAACACCCAAACACATAAAATATTTTTTAATTGGCTGTGGTGAGACCTTGCTTTTCCTGTTTTTTAAAAATTCTTTAATAGGTAGAGAAAAATAATAGGTTTCCACAACCCCAGAGGACCGCCACGATAACGCACGAGAGCTAGAATTAAGGTGTGTACTGCCACACCCAGCTTAGACACCATTTTCTGTCAGGAAGATTGCTGAGATCTTTTATCGTGAACAGTGTGCACTTTTACCAAACATTTTCTGTGCTTCCTGACACCTGACCTTTGTTTTGTTTTGATGAAGTGTATTGTTGATGTTCCAATGTTAAACAGCTTGACAATGGGTTAGAAGACATTTGGTCATGACCTTTTACCCTTTTTCTGTAATTACTGAATTTGATTGTATATTTTTTTCTTTTTGAGACAAAGTTTTATATAGCCCGGGCTGGCACCAAACTCACTATGTAGCCAAGCACAACTGTGAACTTCCCATCCTCCTGCCGCTGCCTCTTGAGTGCGGGAATTATAGACACATACCACCATGCCCTATCTGTTTGTTTCTTTGTCTTCATGTATGTATGTGTGTTTTATCTGCATGTATGACTGTGTACCACTGTGTGCCAGGTGCCCTTGGAGGCCAGATGAGGTCTCTGGATCCCCTGGGACTGGAGTTACAGTCAATTGTAAAGATAAGCTGCCATACGAGTGCTGGGAATCAAACCTGGATCCTCTGGAAGAGCAGCCAGCACTCTTCACTGCTGAGCCCTCTCTCCAGCCCATGCCCAGCTTTTATTCCACGCTGGATTTGATACACAAGTCTTTGTATAAGCACACTATCACTGCCCCAAATGCTGTGCATTTATAGGATTTGTATCCATTTCTGTCTCTGCTGTACCCTCGGAGCCTCTAACACCACTTTAAACAGTTGATGTGCTAAACAAGTGAAACCGTCAGCTTCCTCCATGTAGGACTGCTGAGCTAAATAACTTATCTACATATGCCAAGAGAAATTTGCAGTCTTCCCTCTGAAAACGCTGCCCGGTCCTTCCTTTAACTCTCGGGTAGTTAGTTCACCACCTCCTGCTGTAGCTCCGTGGTTCAGGTACTGCAGTAAAATCTTTCAAGAGTGGAGAACAGGAGCGAGATGTTCTATAGAGAAGCTTTACAAAGAGGCCAGTCTCTGAGCTGGCTTCATACTTATTCCGGGAAAAGGAAGGGGAGGGATTGGGGGACCAGGAGGAACCTGCGCTGAGGAGGAAAGGTGACACCCTGGCATCAAAACCGGCACATTCAAAAGCACAGTCATGACAGATCCTTGCATCAGCCACCAACTTAGCTGTTGACCTTGAGCAGATCTGACCTGCCTGTTTCGTAAAGACGGAACAAAACAAGAGTGCTGCCAGCAACACTGGTTTGCAGTGAGATAACGTATGTGAAAGACCTTGGGGAAATTCTCACAGGAAAGCTTCATTGCTGACAAGCTGACAGGAGTCTTAGCTGTGTGTCCAGCTCAGTGGTGCTCTGACAGGTCTGAGGAGAAGCCAGGAGACAGGCTCTACCTGATAATGAGAGCTTGGGTTGGAGCCTCAAATAGCAACCACCTTTGATTTAGAGTCCAGCCTAGGATGGGGTGTGGTGGCTCTTGGGAGGCTGAGGTAAGCAGGTGGAGCTCTGTGAGTTCAAACTTAGCTTTATCTACATCGAGAGTTCCAGGCTGGCCACTGCTATATAACGAGACCTTGCCTCAGGACAGAGAGACAGACAAACAGACAAACAAAACTCTGACCAGAGAGGGCCAGTCCCTTCTGATTAACACTCTGGCAGTGCTCCACTTAAGCTCCCTTCTACCTTACAAACCACCTTGAGCTGGGACGGGAGAAGACGGCTCAGCCATCTTGGAGAGAACTTGAGTTCTGTTCCCAGAACCAACATGGAGGCTAACAATTTTCTGTAACCCCAGTCCCAGGGAATCTGACTCCATCTTGTGGCCTCCTTGAGCACTAGGCATACACGTGGTATATTTATACACATAATTTTTATTAAAAAATTTAAATGTGCTTTAGCTAAAGCAAGCTCTCAAAGGATTTGGTAGCTCCAGGGAGCGTGAAGAATCTCACCTTTTTCATTTCTTTCTTCAGTATTAGAGCACAGCTGGTGTGCATCCCCCATACCAAAAGCTCTACCACTGAACTATATCCCCAGACTTGGAGCACTGCTATGCCCTGCTCTACCTGCTAGCGGTGGCTTTAACATAGAGCAAGAGCAATCACTGTGTTTGTGTTCTGGATGACTGAGCCTAGAAGTTGTTTCCAAGCAAGGCCCACTATCAAACACAGATTGGCTGTGTTTGCTCACAACCGCCTCCTACTCCAACTCCGGTTCTCCTGTGTATACACACAGGACATCCAGCAGCTTGGTCTGTCCACGGTGGTGTTTTTCTCATCAGGACTGGGAGGCGGAAGATAAAGGGTTGGTGCGAATCTGAATTCCCTGGGGGGTAAGGGGGCAAAGGAGTGGCCTATGCCGCAATGTTGGTGAGACATGCACAGACCTGGGCTCCGTAGTGGGGGAGGGGACAGAGAGAAAGAGAAAGGGATGGGTTCCAAGAACTGTAGGAGCTAGAAGTGTCAGAGGGAGAGGGAGGGAGAAGGTGGGAGGGATGGAGGAGAGGAGGGGACAGAGAGAAAATGAGTCAGTTTGGAAGCTGGAATTTATGGTCTTGGTGCCTGTGCAGAATACAGTCACTACCGGGGCAAGGAACAGAAGAGGCTGAGCAGGTTGGGGGAGGAGCAGAGTGATCTCTTCAACGTAGGACATCTGTTTACTAGTTCCCTGGGCAGTACTAGGTGGCAGGTACCGTGACACGAACAGTCTGTTAAGTACAGCCGTGAAGTCTAAAAACAAGGGCCCCCACCCCCTCCCCTGAAGCTCACATTCCAGAACGAGAAGGACAGTTTAAACAGAACAACAAAGTGAGTGCCAAAGCCCACCGGAGGGAAGTCACTGGAGTCAAGTGATCAGGGTGCTGCCAGGGTAACCAGGCCAGGCGCAGCCAGAACAGTGCCTGGAGGTAAGAAGATTCCAGGCTCAGTGTGGCAGTGGTCCAGGACATCTGAGTGGAGAAGCAGTTTGGGTATCTCAGTCTGAGCATCAGGACACACAGTACAAAATCCACATGGAAGAATACATACCAAATACAGTGCTATTTATAGAATGATCAAGAACTCACAAAATACTAAGGTTATGCTGGAGCAGGCCGGCTTGTTTAGATCAAGGATTTTTTTCCTCTTAAGCTCAGAGCTGTGAGATGTAATACATACTATGTATATTTCTTTGCATATGGAAATACCACAAAATGAAATTCTTAAAAAGATCCAGGGCTCACGGTAAGCGTATCTGCAGCCAATCCTGATGATCGGAGTTCCCTTCCTGGGACCCACATGACAGATAGGCAAGAACTGACTCCCGCTGTAAGTTGTCCTCTGGCCTTCACACCCGCAAAGTGGTGTGTGTGGACCCACAATACTCTCTAAACACACACAATAAAAAGCACAAGCACCTGGGTACGGCAGTGAATGCCTGTAATCTCGGTACTGGAGATGGCAGGTGGATCAATGTGGCTTTGAGGTCAGCTTGGTCCACATAGAAAGCTCCACTTAGAAAGGCCATGTCTCAAAACAACAACAAAGATAAACAAACACATGCCAGGCCTGGTGGCACACATTTTTAGTCGCAGCACTACGGAGGCAGCGTCAGGTAGATCAAATGTGAGTTTGAGGCCAGCCTGGTCTACATGCCAAGTTCCAGGCTGTCCAGGGTTACACAGTAAGACCGTCTCAAAAACAAAACAAATCACACACACATAAACATAAACTTGTATTTTTAAGGCGAGGCCTGGGGCATGGGTCCTGGTTACGCACACGTTTCCAACCCTGAGAAGGACCAAGCAGCCCTGGCCGGGTTTCAGGCCATCCATCCACTCACTACCCTGGCTAGCGCAGCCAGCCTCCCGGGCCTGACTCCGCCCCGCGTCTGCACGTTCGCCACGCCCACACCCAGCGGCCGTCCAATAGGCATGTGGGATCCGGGCCCACACCTCCGCCGCGCCGCGCCCCGTGACGTCACGGCCCGGCCTCCGCCACGTGACGGCCGCGCGCCCGGCTCTGGCTTAGCGGCTGGAAAGCGCCGCAGAGGCCGCTGACTGGCCGGCCGCCACGCCGCGGAGGGAGCCGGGCGCCTGGGCCTCCCGCGCGCATGGGAGCGGCGGCGGCGGCCTGAGGGAGGCCAGCGAGGCCAGCGGAGCCCGAGACCTCGCGCATCCCACGAGCGGCTGCGGCGAGCCGCGGAGCCGACGCGGCCATGGCGACGGGCACTCAGCAGAAGGAGAACACGCTGCTTCATCTCTTCGCTGGCGGGTGAGCCTCGGGCCCCAGCCGCGCTCGCCCCAGCCCCGGCCTTCTCCCCGCGGCGTGCCGAGGCTTCCGGAGCCCGCGGTTCGCGTCTGCGGCGGACCGGGGTGAAGCGAGGGCGGCGCGGCCGCGTCCCCATCCCCCACCCGCCGACCGCCTCTAGCCGTGTTCTCCTTTTGAACAATTCCTGGCCGCTGTGACTGTCACCGGGGGCGACCGCGCCGAGCCCCTGTGGCTCCAGCCTCCTGCGTCTC